GAAGTTTAAACTCATATGGTTTAAAACGCATGATTTCAGCGCGATGAACATTATAATCAGAACCAAAACAGATGTTTTTAGCAGGTCTGAGCTGTAAAGGCGCAGCTCTATTGTGGAAAAGGGGGCGGGGAGCAGCAGCTCATTTGCATATAAAGAGACAGGCCCGAAAAAAGCATGTTTCTGTTTCCACTCAAAATAGGCATTTTCAAAATGATATTATAAATGATCTGTGGAATATTTTGAGCTGAAACGTCACAGACACATTCTGGGGACACCAGAGACTTATATTACATATTGTAAAAAGGGGCATAATATGTCTCCTTTAAGGTAATGTTTAGATCTGACATTAACTTCTTGTTGATCTGAGAATTTTATGCTTCATGCTTATATATTTAGTGTATTAAATGAGCATGCACATGATTAAATATATATTTATTAATTTAGCAGACTCTGTTTTGCAGAAAATATCTGTTCCTCATTATTGCCTGTGACACATTAGCATTTACACTACAAATACACATGATTTTTGGCTACTTCAGAATGTGGGCCGAGTGATCAGATCCCAAAACAGTTTTTTTGGACACAATTTTATACATGCATTTAATGCACGCCACAGAAATGACGTTAATACCAGATGTAACCGGGGTCATTGTTGCATTCTGGGATGTCAAAGTATGTCCTCATTCCCCATTCAGTGGAGTCGGGCTAAATATGTCCTAGATGATAGATCCATCAGCCTTTGTGTTTCAGACAGAAGCCTGCTAACTCACGAGGCTAATATTTTAGTAAGTGTGAAGGCTAGGAATGAAGACTTGATAATACTGGTGTGATGTAATGCACTTCTTTTGTCTTGGCCAGGGACTGAGGCCTTAATCGCAAAAGCTCTGATTACAGGCACGCTCAACCTGTCTTCTTATATACAGCATCAGCATTTATCAGTTGCATAATGGGCCAGATCAGAGCATGAACAGCCAGTGCAGGTTATAAAATGAGGATTTTGGACCATGGGAAAAATGCTCGCTTTCCTTTAACTAAATCATGAAAAGACCTTTGGGAAATCTGAATTTGGGTACGGTATAGCGGGCAGTTACTTTCTCTCATATAGCGCTGGGCATGTTGTATTATATTGACAGCTTTATCCGTATAATCACGACAAACGTGCATGTCTGTCTGCCTGTATATGAAATATGGTTTGATTTAGCGGCTCATATTTTTAACTGCTCTACGCTTGGTCCCAAAGCACATAAGGCACTTCCAAACAGCTCTCTCATTCCAGCATGTTTTTGATTTTATGTCGAATAAAAAAATACACATAAACGGTATTATGACATTCATTCAGCACAACAGAAACAACAATGTGCAACAATGTGAATTTAATCAGTACAATACACAAAGTCGAGCAGATTTCTTGACTTTTCACATGTTATTGAGGATCCCATCAGGCCGTTCTCAGCTCTCGTTAATGTTTGTGGTGCTGCCAAAGACATCCTCCAGAAAGAGCGAGCAGTTGATGGTTTTAACTGCAGGGTCTGCAGCTTTTTCTCTCCAGTCTGTGTCAAACTGAAAACAACAGCATGACAGGGTTTGAGAAACAGATCACAGGATCCTGGAGCGCATATGTTTAGCTGGCACTCTCATTTTATGTCTTTGCAAATTAAGGTGAACCGAGACATAGATTTATCAGGCCGGCTTGACTTTAGCACATGGTAAATGTCTTGTACTTGATGTTTAAAAATGTATGACAAATGTTTAACGACTTTGCGTGCTTCAGTAAATCAGACACGTAATCATCTTTTAGAAAGAATTTCTGCAGATAAGATTTTTTTATTGCTCAATATGTTAAGGTGACCAGATTTCTCAAATGAAAACTGGAAACATTTCTATTTCAGCAGATTATATATCATTGAAAT